TAAACAACTTTATTTTTACTAGAAAATGTGAAGCAAGTAATTTAAAATAATAATAAAACACACATAGAAAAAACTACAAATCTTAAACAGAATACCAATTTAGATATTTTCTTCAAACAAAAATATCATAGCATTTAGGCTTAAACTTACTGATTATTGTTTAAGGTTTAGTATTTTGGAGGTGGAATTGAGTTTATAAGGTTATATAAAGTTTTTAAATGATATATATGATACTGAATGTCGTATATTTAATATTAAATTTTAATTCATAATTACCTTCAAGATTGTGTTTTCTTCAGCCTTATTACAACATATAATAATATTATTTATTTTAAAATTTTAAAATTTATCAGAAAAATATAGACTTTTTCACGAAACTATAATATTTTTTTTTAACATTTCACGAAACTATAATTAATAAGTTAAATTTTCATGTAAACAGTTATTCACATAATTCAGATTCATAAGTATGGTCTTCAACATGCACATAAATTTTGTGACTTTTAAAACTTTTCACCACAAAAATATAGACTTTTTTCACGAAATTATAATTATGAAGTTTTCTTTTTATAAACAATTATTCACACAATTAAGATTCATAAATATGGTATTCAACATGCACACAAATTATGTGACTATAAAATGCATCTATGGTCTTCAACATGCACACAACCTTTTGAGATTATAAGATGCATGTATTAATAATTTAGTTACATGATAAAAATAAGAACCCAAAATAATTTCTATTGGTTAAACAGTTAAAACTCATAGATCATGCAAACCAAAATATACAGATAATAATAAATAAACAGAAATGTTTCAAGCACCCTATAATGACAATATAAACTTCACTAAACAACCAAATAACATTAGAATATATTTAAGCGAGAAGAATAACAAATAATAAGTTAATACAAAAATTAATTAGTACTTACGAAAGTGTATGATGTTGTCATTGACTTGATTAACCTTATTTAACTTTCAAATTTTTATTTCACTCTAATTTTTATTTCAGATTGAATTCGGTTTAAATTTTTAAATATGATTAGTTTTTCTAATATTAAGTACAAATATTAACCGGGATTTATGTGAAAAACAAGTCCTTAATTCTCAGATAAGTCTTATATATATATATATATATATGCAAAAGGAATGCTAAAAACTATAACAAATGATTTATTATTTTATTTTTTATATAAAATTAAAACATCAAACGAAACTTGTGCAACGCACGAGTCCATATCTAGTACTTAATAAAGATAACTTTTCTCTTGTCTGGACTGTTTTTTTTTTTTAAGTTATTACTAGCTAGGTTTTCAGGATGGAGGAGAAAACATATCCAGTATATGCTTGCTGTTGGGTTTGAGGAGGCTGTGGAGTTGATTCTTGAGAATCTCCCACAGAAGAGATAAAACATGCTTTTCTCAGAAACTATGCCTACTTGGGTGACGAAGTTGGCGAGGAAGTACCTTTACAATCCCCTGAATATCGATCTGGTAAAAGGTTTTCCTTAGCTCTATATATTTAACAAAGATACTTTTTACGCTTCTGTTGTCTGAATTCATGACCATGTTGAAGCTGTTTTCTTCCTGCAGGTACCTAAAGATGAGTTTGCTGCAGTATTACAAGTCACTGAGACTTCTAAAAACAAGGTACGTCTCTGACATAGAATAATCTCTTCTAATTAGACAACATTTTTGGTGTAGAAATGTGATTCCATATACTAATGTGCATTGTTTGCATATTGGTGTTTGGTATACAATGTTCACGTGAGTCGTGAACTGATATGCGACGATCAAAGAGGAGAATGATATGAACAAATGAAGGACACATGCATTCTGATCTATAAGCTTAAGGACCTGATGTTAGTATTTGTTCTTTTTTATTTTTTTTGCTGTCGTTTCCATTGCTTGTGATAAGAGCTGATAATCTTTAGGTTTGCATTGCTTGTGAGCTGATTGAATTTAGGTATGCATTGTGAACGGTTCCTTACGTATGGTTGCTTGATCGTTTAGTCTGATTAATGTTATTGTTGTGTGCTAAGTAGATTATCAACGTATGTTTTGTTCTCATCTCCATTGGTCTCTTCTTCATGCAGGTGCTATGTGCAGGTGTTGATGAAGATCAAAGTCCCGCGGCCCTGTACCACAAAGGCTTGTGCATGTCGCGGATCAGGATTGGGTAGCACAAGTTCCAGAGGAGAAGCTAGCAATTTAGGTGTTAGTTTTTCTCTCTAGATTTAGGTTTTTAAATCAATTTTTATTTATAAAATATAATATTTTTGTAAATCAACATTTATTTTATAATAAATTATATATACTCTATTAAAACAGAAGTATAAAAATAACTTACCAAGTTTTAAATGTTCTATTACAATATTTATTTTCCTTTTTTACTAATCCTTACTACTAAATTAATTGTTTTAACCATAATAATTATGTAAATATTTATTAATCTTCTTTTCAAGTATTGTATTACAAATTTTTTATTAAGATATTAAAAATTCTTATATTTCAGCATTAATTATTTTGTGTCATTTAAAACAAACATAATATTGAACTAATCCTCTATTCTAACTAATTAATATCTCGACTACTCACTAACAATTTTATATTTTATTTAAACTAATTAATATGAGTAATTCCTTATTTAAATTAATTTATTTTATATTGAAAGACACTATACATTTTATTTGGAATATATATCTAAAATCTAGACAATAACCTCACCACATACTATCAAATTTATAATTTTTAAATAATCATAATACAATTATTTATCTTTACATCATAATACAAGTACTTATTTATATATTCCATGTATCATTTTTAATAATTTTAATTTTAAATATTCATTATTTAAAACAATATATAATTAATTAAAATAACAATATGATTCGTGAAAGCCATATCTAACTATAATAAGGCAATTTTCGGTTTTTCCCTCAAAGTTTCTAAATTAATGGGTTAACCTACTTTATTTGCATAAATATGAAATTTTATTCATATAAGCTGTAAAATATAAATTAATTTGTCAATCTATTATTTTACGTATATTTTCATATGAATAACAGCCCAATACAAATCCAAACCATGAATATAAGATAAGAAATATGGATAGTATTGTTGACGATTCAAACGAACTATTCAATCTAAACTATAATACTATTGTATTTAAAATGGCATATTAAAAAGTTATTTAATACAAGAGAATATTATATATATATATATCACTATTTGTATAAAGATATTAACTTTAAAAACAATATAAAAAAATTTACACGAATGTGCTTGTCAAGCTTTAATTTGTTTTCAAAACTAACGCAATTAAAAAATGCTATCATATAACAGATCAAGTTTCCTAAATAAATGTTATCGTAGGTGGGGTACCTATGATGAATGCAGATGACATAGCATAAACAATATTGCTATGAAGCCCTTACTATAGCAGTTTTTCCTTGCTAAGAATTTACATATTTCTTGTAGTGAAGCCAGGGTGAGGGGCGCAAGAGACAGAAAAATTCACAGGAAATTTAGCACTTAAAGCAATTTAGGCAATTTTATTTTTTTTATTTATCAAGTTGCGACTTGACTAGATTAAATGTTTAGGTTAGAACTATAAAAAATTGAAATATTTCGAGGAAGCATAACCGTCAGAATATTCCGAAGAAGACATTCCTCGGAAAACTTCTGAGAAACACGTGCCCTTAGAATATTCTGACGTACAAGGTAGGCGTTGGAATATTCCAAGGACTGTATTCCTCAGAAAATTCCGAGGAATACCTTCGTCGGAATATTCCAACGGCTAAGCTTCCTCGAAATATTTCAACGGCTAAGCTTCCTCAGAATATTCAGAAGATGGCGTCCCTCATTATTTCCCTTGGTATTTTCCTATTAATGAGCTCCGTCGGTAAACCTCCGAGGAAGTATCCGTAGAAATTATCCAATAGGATACTGATGACTATGTCCTATGAAAACTTTTGTCGGAATTTTCTCAAAATTGTGAGTCGAAGGTGTCGGTATTCCCTCGGAGTCTCTGATGAAATTCTGAAAAAATGTTTTTTTAACGATATTTTTCCTACGACTTTTTTCTTCAGAATTTCGTCGGAATAGGCTTTTTTCGATGAAATTCCGAAGAAAAAGATTGTCAGAATTCGCTTTCTTTCTTGTAGTGGAGATTCTATATGGCAAATGGGTACAAATAAAAAATTTTTGACATTTTATTGGGTGTCAGATGACTCCGTTCCTCTTTTAATGGATTCGCCGTGGTGATACTGAAAATAATGATATTTTCGTAAATAAATAGTGAAGATGAGCATGTTTGAGTAATATTTTGAAAACAAGTAATAGAATTTTTGGCTAATTAGTTGAACTTTAAGGGTGAATAAAATAAAATAGTTAGTTCTGTGTTTGACCACAAATTTTGGTTTCTCTGAAAAAATCTCTAGTTTTTTTTTGTAGTCGAATCGTTCAACTCTTAACAGTTGACATTTGAGGACTGACAATCTGGACATGTAGTAATGAAGATTAATTATTATTTAGCAACAACTAAAATCATAAATAAATGAAAGCATATTCGAAAAACATATGGATATGAACTCGATTTCATATCTTAGTGTGGACTTAGTTGCCACCATGTATACAAAGTACATATGTTTAAATCAATCGATCCACCTCATACCAATTATATATCTATGTCTGTATTATGTCATTTAGTATAAATTATTTTTTATTAGTTTGTCTGATAAACTTATTTTGAGATTTAAAAAATGCTTTTATGTGGAAACTTCGATTTATGTAAAAATTAATGCTTCAAATTGTTTTACTATGCAATGATGAAACCAAGCAATATAACAATAAACACCAAGTATTGAAGTATCTATTGACCATATATAGAGAGATTGATCATATATGGTCACAAAAAGACAAATGTAGAGGTGCAATATTCCAAATATCACATCGCCCATAGCGAAACCAGTAAAATTGCAAAAGAAAACTTAATTAACATGAACTGGTAGAAAATATGACATTATGCAAGCCTAGTGATTTCCTGACTTCAGTTTCACCGGAGAGCTCTTCAAGAGACTTACCCTTGGGCTCAGGGATAAGAAAAGTGAAAAGCATACCAACGAAGTTAATGACACCAAGCAAGATGAGAGAATTCTTGACTCCAATCCCCGGTGGATATCCTGCATCCGTTTCGTTCTTGTCTTGGGACTGAGCTAAGTATAAGAACCCAAAAGCTCCTACAATAGCTCCAGCCTTACCAGTAGCAGCTGATATACCATGGCATGTGGACCTTAGCCTAGCCGGGAATATTTCAGCGGGTACAATAAAGGTGGTTGCGTTTGGTCCAAAGTTGGCGAAGAAGAATGTGAGGGAGTACATAACCAAAAATCCAATACGGTGATCTGGTTTGATCCAGTGGTCGTAAGGAAAGGCAATGGCAAACATAAAGACAGTCATCATGAAGAATCCCATCAGCTGGATAGCAACTCTTCCCATAGTTTCAATAAACGCAACTGTGAACCAATAGCCGGGTACGGTACTGCAAAGTGCTATGAGAGTTTGTGCCCTAGCAATCATGAAAACCTCGTGAATTCCGTTCATAGTTTCTGCCTTAGGGATCCAACCGATAGCCGAAAAAATATCTTTTTGGAACAAGTTTTGGCTGTAGAAGGCAATGTCAAGAAAGAACCAAGTGGATGTACATCCAAGCAAAGGAAGACCATGACGTTTAGCGAATTCCTTGGAGAACAAGGGATAGTTAAGTCTAGGGTCTTTCATGATATCCTCTGCTCTTTCCTCCATATCAAGATCCACTTGTAAGACCTTGGACATGTCTTGTGTGGCCTGCCTAATGTTCTTGGCCACCAATGCGGTGTAACGAGCAGTTTCGGGCATCTTCATACGCCAATAGTAAGTCAAGGCTGCGGGTAGAGCACCAAACATGACAATGATTCGCCAAATGTAATCTGCTTGGGGAGGCGTCGACATAGCCCTGTCGACTGCATAGGACGGAGCTGGGAAATTTTTGTCGAAAATGGTAGAGACGGCAAGTGCCACAAAACCTCCAGCTAAGATACCTACACCTTGCATGGCGAACACGGCAGCGATGAAAGCTCCACGAGTCTTCTTGTTTGCATATTCAGACATGATGGTGGCAGAAAGCGGGTAGTCACCTCCAATACCAAAACCAAGCCAAAACCTAAAAGAAAATGTTAAAATATGTTTTGAATGGAAAATAATGACATACACTTGTTATACCTGCAGAAGCAAAGAGTGGTCATGACACCCTTAGCTTTGTTACCGAAGGAGAGACCAGAAGCAACAGAGCACAATATCATCATGATCAAAGTGATACCATACACTTTTTTCCTTCCGAGTTTGTCACCGAGCCATCCGAAGAAGAGCTGACCAGCAAGGGTCCCACATAGAGCCACACCATTGACCGCAGATGCAACATGAGGTGGAAGTGAGCCAGGCTTTTCTGACAACGGATTGAAGTAGTAGAGGCGGCCAAGAAGCTTGGTCACCAAGGAGACGCAGAAGAGATCGTAGGCATCAGTAAAGAAACCCATACCAGCGATGACAATGGCCGTGAAATGGTAAAGTTGGGTTTTTGCAACATCGAGTGCCTTTAGCACTCCTAGTTGTTGTTCTGCCATCTCAGCTTTCTTCGTCTCTCCTGCTTTCAGGCACTAAACGTTAATACTTTTGTATATACTTATTACAATTGTAATGTAGAGACATTCTGATCCTTCTGTTGAACAGGAGAAATAAAACAAATTTGATTCTTGGTTTCAGGTGTAAAGGAAAGACATTAAAGAAACGAACGTGTTCAATAAAGAGACAACAATTTGAATACCTAAACATTAGATTACATATGCCGAAATGTTGTTGTTTATAAATCCTAAGTGGATTCCCATACAAGTCTATATCCTCACCTTGTCGTTAGCTTGGGTAAAGGAGATTGAAGAGATGGTTTTAGCGCAGAAATGTGGGAGACTTTTACCAAAAAAAGAAATGTTAGAGATTTTATAGAACGAGAATATGCGAGCGGAATCGTTTACTGGGTATAATCCTTGTTTATAGTTTTGACAACACATTAGGCATATACTCTCTTCTTATTTCTTTATAAGCCTATTTGTTGTTAACAAAACTAACTTAGCTTGATAACATTAATTTCCAAAGCCACTATATACCATCCATACTATAATACAAGATACACACTGGAGGCCGGCTAGCGCCACATGATTCTCACTATTTTTTCTTTCTTTTTATCATAATTTATGAGCATTGTTATATATCTAAAAATGATCACTTCTGTATAATTCTGATAATTATTCGAGTTAAAATTAATTCTACAACTATTTTTTTTCATTAAATATTTTGTCAAGTCACTTCTGTTTTTTTTTTTTTTTTTAAAAAGATCGCATTAAGTATTCTCCTTAATCTTACCTAATTTTCGCTCAGAGCTTGTTTCATCATCTAAATACTCTGCTTGTCTTCCTTCTTGAATATAGTTTTAAACACTAAGATTGATAACTGATAATATGTGTATTGATGCACGAGCCGATGCTGGATATCGAGCATGAAAGGTTAAGATACGAAGACTGACGTGATCATATTCTCGAATATAGTTTTAAACACTAAGATTGATAACTGATAATATGTGTATTGATGCAGGAGCGGATGCTGGATATCGAGCATAAAAGGTCAGAGCCGGCTCTAGAATTATGTGGCTTAAAGTGATTTATTAACGATTTCATCTAAAAATTGTTTTTTACGGATTTAAGAGCCTAAATTTTTATTTTTTTGGGCCTGTATATATGTAACTTTTTTCAAAATGTTTTTTTGGGGCCAAAGCCAGTATTTTCGGCTTTGCCCAACGCCGGCCCTGTGAAAGGTTAAGATACGAAGACTAACGTGATTATAGATAATTGGGTACCATAAGGAGGAGAGAAGTTTATTATAAGAGGCCTAATTAATCTATCTCGGAGAAAACAAAAATGCTATGCAGAACCATACCTTTTCAGATCCAATTGTATCTCTCACTCTCTCAGTTTGATAAATCAAATAATAACATAAGTCTAGTTATCCTTCTAGTTTGATTATCGTGTCACACAACGAATATTTCAACTCCTATTTCTGTTCTTGATAAACATTATATCCAACTAGATATTTCCATCCACAAACAATAAACTAAAAGATATAAAAATCTTGGAACAAAACTGTTGAAATGCTAAAAATGTACTACATTTTCTTGTCAACTGCTAAAATGTACTACTGAATGCTGTAATATATTACAACGAATTATAAGTCTATGAGACTATGACCAACAAGGACTTGACCTAGTGACTAAATCTTTTGAATCACTTAGTAAGAGATAATATTAGTTTGCCAATGCCACTGAAGTAACTTTTTGTTATTTTGAACAACGCCACTGAAGTAACTAATAAGCATATTTAGTATGTAAAATGAAACAATAATATTTATTTTATTAAATTTGCCAATAATAATCCTCAAAATAATATTTATTTTAATTATCTAATTGTATACATAATATGTCCAAAATAAACATAGTATAATGCCCGTACGGGAAATAATACTAGTTTCATATTATATGTTCGATTTACATTGGAAAATATCTGCTTTAAAAAAAAATTAAACATGGTTTCAGTCTAGTCTTGGGAGACGTACGGATCTTGGCCAAAAAATTTCTTGTCATTAAAAAAGCAATAAACCTATATAGAAATGTTAGATTGTTAGTGGTGGAACTGGAACAACTGGAAAATAAAAATATTAATTAGTTAATTAATAAATTAATAAAAACTGACACTTCAATGATAAGGAGTCAAGGACGATGTCAAGTCGAAATCGCAACAGGTGGTTTAATTTAAAACAATCATCACAAGCTTTAAAAGGAAATAAATCTAGGTTTTGTCAAAAACCCATAACACTGATCTATGACATTATGAGACTATATGAATGGAAAGCGTTCGTAAACTCTCATATGCAACGAAATGTATTGATTCACTAACCCAAAGCCATTTTATTAAAATCTAAAACAGCCTTAATCCATTGGACTAACAAAGGTCTGACATAAAATACAATTGGCAGTCATGCTCGAAAATATTAACACGATACATAACTAGGACATAAAAGTCCAACAAATTCCGACGGGAAACTATTTGAACATCCCTTAAACTCCAAAATGAACTATGAATTGCTTGACTTGTTGAAAATGGATATTTAGGCAGCCTTCATAAGGTGCAGCCCTAATCAAATCACAGTTAAATCAATTTGAGAAAGGTTGGCCTATGAGAAGGGACACTTTGGCCTTAGAAGAAACCGCGTTCGAAACTATCCAAGACCGAACCGATATACTTAGCCATTGATTCCACTTAGATGATTATCCTTGCGTCGTGAGAATAACACATAATTCTAACGAGTTGGGGGAGGGCTAAATATTGGGTTAAAATCAGCCAAGCAAAATCAACGACTTATATTACCCGAGAATTTATCCTTTGCAATAAGGGTGGGCATAATTACTTGCTACTCGGCTTGTATTCGTTACTTGATTCGTACTTGGTTCTTAAAATCAAGTACTCGTTTTGTTCAAGTCGAGTATCAAGTCGTTTATTTCAATTACTTGCAAGTACAAGACAACTACCAATTACTAAAATGAAAATAACTACTTGGCGTTGTTGGCTTGTTACTCGTGACTTATTACTTGATTTATTACCCGTTTTTTTAATTTTAGACCAAAAAATCTCTAAATTATAATCAAATTACTTGTTTATAAAATAAATAAATTAAAAGTGATATATTATATAGAATATTTTAGAGTTTTCTTTTAATTTTATATTTATCATATATCGATTTAAAACATATGAAAAGTAAATAAATATTATTTATTAAAAATTGTTTCGATTATAATTATAACTAACTAATTTTTTCTTAAATTCATATACAAGGTTTAAGTAGCTAAAATTAATACATTATCATTAAATAATTGAAAAATAATTATTTAATAATTTATAAATTAGTTTAAAAATAACAAGTAGTAAAACGGAGTAAGTACTTGCAAGTATACTATTTTTTAGCAAGTACTTGAAAGTGCAAGTACTCGTTTTTAATAAACCAAATACAAGTCCAAATTTGTATTACTCGAACAAGCCAAGCCAAGTACCAAGTACGCCAAAAATGACAAGTACTTAGCTTGTGCACACCCCTACTTTGCAAGAATGAGCTGGAAGTACTGAGAAAACAATTCCACATACCCCATGCCAGCTAAAACAAATATAAATGCAAAACGCCTAATATTTTTTTCCGGAAAAGAAATGGAGAGATTTCTGTCCAAAAAAAAATTATCTTAAAAACGTGATTCTAGAAGATTTACGAAACAAAACATTTTACAAAAAAAAATCTTCTGTAAAACTAATTTCAAAAATGGTTTTACAAAAAAATCTTCCGTAAAACTAACTTCAGAAATTTCTACGGAAAGATTATCGTAAACACACATCAAAACAAGTTTTACGAAATAAACTTCCGTTAACTAACTTCGAACAGGTTTTACGGAATTGTTTTTATATGACAAATCAAAACAGTTTCGGAAATTAAGTAAAATTATACGCAAACATCAAACGGAACACGGAAGAAGTGTAAGAAACGGTGAGGAGTGGGCATCTCTCAAGCCACATCTCTCTTCCCCGAGCATAGCCCGAGCTCTCCTCAAGAAGAGTGAGCATCGCTCAAGCTTACCCTCTTTCTCTCGAGCATCGCCAATCTTCATCTCTCATCCCGAGCATCACACAAGCTCCCTTCAAGAAGATTTAGCATCGCTCAAGCCTTCAATCTCTTCCCTTATCATCACCCAAGCTCCCCTTGAGAAGAGTGAGCATCGCCCAAGCCTCCTCTCTTTTTCCTGAGCATCTCCCGAGCTCTACTCGAAAAACTGAGCATCACTAATCTCTCTCTCCCTCTATATCCTTGATAATCGCTAAGTTCTCCTTGAGCTCTATGAGCACCACCAAGCCCTGTCTCTCATTTTGCATCACCAAGCTCTCTCTCACTACTAAGCATTGCCAAGCTCTCCTCGAGCCCTCTCCCTCTCTCCTTGAGAATCAAATTGCATCAAATTAAACAATATTGTTTTCTTCTTCTGACTCTCCATCCGCCGACTTCTCCGCAGACGTTTTCTTCTTCTTTCTCTTCTTCTTCGCAGGCTGGCCAGAAGCTTCTTGTTCTTCAACAACCATGGGGCCTTGGATTCTCTCTCCTTCAGACCAGTCCTCCGATCGAGGCCGTTTACCACCCTCTTCTAAGGGATCGGTCGGCCCCGTTTCAGACGCCTCACCAGCAGACGGAGCTGCGTGGTCTACGGGGTCCGATCCATCTAGGTTGAACCCATCCAAAACGTTCATGAGCCCCGCTCCCGACTCTTCGTCAGCCTCGACTTCTAAGGATAGATCCGGCACTCCTCTCATCCTCAATGCTCGATTGATAGCCTTTTTTCCTTCTTCGAGAATAACACCGATCGTTTCTTACCGGTCCGATTCGCACACAGAAGCCTCGAGTCCCACTCACCTGCATAAGACGTGCCAAGTTCGGAGATCGAACATACAAGGAAAGGAAAGAAAATGCGCATCATTCGGTTCCTTAC